CCCTGACCTCAATCATTTCTGAGAAGTCATGGGTGGGAGAAGGGTGGGGAGGATGAGAGTCTGAATGAAGAAAAGCTAGCACTGGTCATCTTTGTCCTTCTTTCTGGAAGGCAGCCTGCCTCGAATGCCCAGGCTCTGGGATCACACAGATCACCTGATGCACCAACTCCTTGTGGCTCCTGCAGTCTGGCTGGAGTTGGGAAATGTTTGTGTGGGAACAAATAAGATGAAAACTTAAGGGCTAAAGTCCTACAGGAGCACATGGTGGGTAGAGAAGCAATATGGCACCTGGTGTCTTGGCTCAGGTCTGTGGTGATGGGAAGCAACCCTCAGGGGGCTGGCAGCCTGGTGCCTTTTCCACAAGAAGCTCCCTGTTCATTGGTGGCAACAGCTTTTAGGCTCATGAGGGTAGAAAGGCTCTCCAGCAGCTCAGCAACCTGTGGACTTCCAGATATGTGACAGCTATAGGAAAACAAACAAACAAACAAACAAAAAAACCACTCCACCTCCCTCTTTCTGTGGGACTCTAAGACTCCTGGGGGTTGATCTGGCTAATATCTTGTTCCTTCTTGTTCTGCTCTGCAACTTCTTCCTGTGAACTCTCTGGTAGGTTCTGGCTCTTTCCCCCCAGAGCTACATCCAATCTGTGATTGTTCATTCATGTGAATTTTTCATCCCAAACATTTCCTTCTTTCTAAAGTAGTCTGGCAGCCAGTGTCTCTGGTCAGCCCTCTTCAAAATTAGTTTTTATTTAGTCAATTTCCCAGCATCATTTTTAAAATAAACGTCCTCATTTCTAAATAAAGTTTGATGCTTTATTTGTTCATTTTAGTTGTTCTTTATATAAGGGTTGGACAACTGTTTGTTGCTAAGGGCTTATTTATCTACAGAAAGATTACACATGCACAGAAAAGATTTACATTTACGTTCATAGAAAGGATTTCAGGCAGAATGCAAAGACATAAAATGCTAGCTTGTCTGAAAAACTAGATTCCAGAGAAGAAAGAAAAGTAGACTATGAATATATAATGGTGCCTAAAGTGATGCTAAAAATAGACACACTTGATAAAAATAATCCTTAAGTTTGGTTTTAAATTTTTTAGCCAATAAGCAGCAGAGAAACATAATCAGTTATACAATTAATAACATCATCTCTACACCAAAAGAAACAGAATAATTGTTTAGAAATAGGACTTTATTTAGAGCTAAATTCAGAATAAAATTTCTTTCATAGGTAGTTGATATAAAAACATACCTTGCTATAATACTAAAATACCAAGCCCAAAGATGCTACAGGTTTGATCAATACCTTGTCACGGTCAAATCTAGCATTGTCTCCAGAAGGCATTTTGTTTCGAACAGAATTTTATCTGCCCCTTTGTTGGGCTTCTCTCTCTTATTGTCTGTCTTTCTTTTTCTTCTCTTTCTTCTTTTCCTTCTCCCTCCCCATTTTCCTCCTTCTTCATTTTCTTCTTATTACAGTGGGTGGTTTCCATGTACCAGTCTCCAAGTATGTCAGCTATAGATACTTTTAATTTTTCTATTTTGGGGAGTTTTGATATAAATTCTATGCCTTCATTGAAAAAGAAAACTCAATGGTTTCTTTCCTTTCCTATGCCCCGGAACTCTGTAATTAGCATGAGAGATGTCCACTCCTTTAGAGTTTCATAGGTTGGACCTTGAAATAATCAAAGTCTCCCATTAGGAGGAGGTGAAAGGGGTGGTGGTGATGATGATTATAGGTCTTTTATAGGTCTTTGACAACTATTTTTCCCAGAGTTTGGTCTCAGTTCCTTTTCATTACAGATAATTTTGGTAACTTATATTACCTTAAGAAATCACCTAGTTTTCAAATTTTATTGCACATGTATCTTTCAATTTCCTTTTTATGTGTTCTTATTTTCTCACTTTAAGGTCATATTTTATATGTTTGCACTTTTCCCTTTATTTCCTTGTTTAGAGTGGCTATTGATTTCTCTAGCTTTTTGGTTGACATAACCAGCTGTTTTGTAGTTCATTGATATCTGAATTTATCTTTTAAATTTATTTTGTTTACATTTTAATATGTTTTCTTTCTAAATTTCTGAGCTTGGTATCTAATTTATTTATTTTAATTATTTTTATAGAGGTAAATAACTTTATTAGGTTTTGCCTATCTTGAGGTGACAGTTTTGGTATAGTGATATTCATGATGTCATATCCTGATTGTCATTTGTCACATTTATTATTTCAAAGGTTATGTGTCGAATTGTTTCTCTCCCCATCCCCACTCTCCTGAAAATACATTGAATCTTAGTACCCAGACCTGAAAATGTGACTGTGCTTGAAAAAAAAGGCCTTTGCACATGTATTCAATTTAGGATGGGATTATGAAGGTGGGCTATAATTCAATATAATTGGTGACCTTATACAAAGGGGAAACTTGGACAAAGAGTTATGAGCATAGGGAGACTAGCCCAGGAACAGGGAGGCAGACAGTAGGGTGAAGCAACTCCCAGCCAAGTAACACAGATTGCCGGCAAAGCACCATCAGCAGAAAGGCACAAAGCAGATACCCGCTCACAGACTCAAAGAGAACAACCCTGCCAATGCCTTGAATTGGGCTATTTGTGTCCAGAACATAAGTAAGTTGTTTAAGCCACTCGTTTGTGTCATTTTGGGATGGCTGTCCTAGAAAACTAATACAGGTTACTCGGTTTCATTTAATGTTTTTCTACCCTGAATTCAAACTTTATGTGATATTAACATTGTACTCCCAATTTCTGTTTTCCTTTGTCCAGTAAACCTTTGAAAATTCCTTTATTTTTAGCCTTTAGTGCTTCTTCAATTTTAAAACTAATCAGACCCCGTCAACTCGTGCTTTAAGACCTTGGTGTCTTTCCTTTGTATTAGAACAGAATGATTCCATTTCAGCTGTCTAGCACTTTACCATGAATCATAAGACACTATGCCATTCTCCAGTCTCTTCTCAGCCCTACTCTGCCCTGCCCTCTGTGGCTGCTGGCACATGCGCTTCCTTCTGGTGCCCACTGTGACCTGAGCTCTTTATCCCTCATGCCTGTTCCCTCTATTTGAGACCCTGTTCCATCCATTCTTCAGTTTGCTTGGTCATTCTTGTTCTTCATGTCTCAGTGCAGATCATACCTTTGCAGAGATTTCTTCTCTGATAACTACATCTAATGTGATCTAGTTTTATAACCAAACTTCACAAATACATCACTCCTATTTCTCTTACAGGATTGATCAGCATCTGAATTTGTCTTATTTATCTATGTATGCATATTTTATCTCCACCTCCTCTAAAATTTAAGTCCCACATATGCATCTTTCGCTACATCTAGAGTGTTTGCTTGGTATGCCATTGGCAAACAATGAATATTTGACCAAAGAATTACAAATGAGGAAAAGAAGGATAGAAGGAAGACATGAGGAAATCTGTGAGGCATTGTTTTCTTCTGACTCTTTCACAAACGTTCCTCAGAATCCTTAAGAGTCTCAGTTAAGCCTCTCAATGCTGGAGTGTTTATTCTGATCTCTCCTTTACTCCCCATCTCCTGCTGTGCTAACTAGATAATCATGACCAGTTACAGGTTAAAAGAATCCAATTTTCCATCATCAAAGAAGTAATCCTTATTAGTATATAATCAATGATCATGTCCTCAGCCATTCCTGATATGCAATCTCATATGGCAGGTGTTGTAAGCTCCCTTCTGCCTCACCACAGTGATGCTTAGTAAGTTATTCTTAATATATCCCCACACCATCAAACATGATCTGAACATGCAAACAAATCCTAACCAAGAAATTCCTTTCTATAACCAGAGAGAATCACAATATCCTCCTGCAACAGATCATACCCACAGGGATTTCAGGAAAAGAGACCAAAAACTTTTAAAGAAAATGGAGAGGCACATTTCCAGATGAGTCGACATTCCCTGCAGCTTTTATGAAAGCAATTTTATTTATATACTTCCAAGCAAGCTTTAGCAATTTATTACATCTGAATTAAACAACAGTAACTAGAAATAGGACCTTATTCTTTCCATGTTCCTGCTAATTGTAAAAAGCAGAGGAGAATCTCTAACTAACATGAACCTATATGGTGTTCCACCATAACACCATCTGATGGCAGCATACCCCAAATTAGAGACTCCCTCTTTCTTGTTAAAATTTCAGATCACACTATACTATGAAAATAATAATCAGTGCAATATTTATTTGCAGGGTGTGTTTTATGTCTAGACAATGGGATACAAACATTTCCATGACATAGTCTGTTCTTTCAAGAGCTCACAGTGAACTGGGGGGGGGGAGAGGAATGTGTGCAGGTAATTATAATACAATGTTCAGTGGACATTACTGAAGCAAGAGGAGGGGCTCTTAGGCAAATACGGAGGTAAGAGGAGATGATGGTTGAACTGAGTTTTAATATACCTGAGTTACACGATTAAAATAGGAAGTAAAGTGAGCAACATCATAAGAGGTCAATAAAGGCAAGATTATAACACAATGAAGAAAAACATTACACTGGAAACAAAGACGGGATAAATGGGTGGAGTAGGATGCTGGCCCCATATACTGGAGGTGGTGGGTTCAAATCCAGCCCAGGCCAAAAAATGAACAACAACAAAAAAAGAGGGATAAGTAACTACACATTTCAGGTCAGATTAACTCACTAAACCTCATTTTAAAAGGGACCTATGTGCCAGACATTCACCTGGATGGTCAGAAGAAGTGAACAAAGTGCATACAACCTTTTCCTGACAAAAGCTTTTCTATTACTACAGAGCTTGATAATAAATATAAAATATAATGCCAAATAATTATATAACAATAAAGTGGTAAGCAAAGGAGGTGGTAACTGGGAGGTAGTGGCATGTGTCTTAGATAAGACCATGGGCAGCACCACATGCTTCCCTGGGTGATAAAATTATATAGTCTGACTGTAATCATGCTTGTGGCTTATGTTCATTAGCAGCTGACGGCAAAAATGTACTTACCAACACTTGTCCCACGAAGGTCTGTGCCGAAAGCAGCATTTCTATACGATCGCGGAATATCCCACGGAAGTGGAGCTTTCTGTCGTAAGGTTGGTAGAAGGTCTCTGAGGTCACTAATTTCTGTAAGCAAGAGAAAGAAATTGACAATGTGAGCTGGATCTCAGGGAAAGTAATCTGCTTTGTTTACCTGGATAGAGCCTCTTGTGGTATCATACAGAAATCATTCCCCCTTGTTCAACTCAAGGAACCCCAAAGTTGCTTATTCAGTATCTCAGACAATGAGTTTCACCACATTCGCATTTTACTGGTTTTCTGAATAGATCTTTTATTCTGAGTTCCACTGTTTTCACCTATGCCTTTCTCACCCTTCAAACTGCCACCACTGTGTGGATCAGGACTGGAAAGAGCCTATTTCTTTCTGCTCTGGGAAAAAGTGCTTTAACATTTTCCACCAAGATACATGAACAAAGGGAAAAAGATCACAGATTTATGTTTTCGGTGATTACTCAAGTATCTGACTTTGTAAGAGAGAAGGGAGGAAGGAAAGTGTTAGCAATTTTATGTTGTTTTTTGTTCTTCATCTAGTATTCCCTGAAATTATAACCTTTCCTCATATTTATATTTATTATATTTTAATTTTACAGTAATTCTATGCAGTAGACAAAGCAGGCATGATTAAATCAATTTTATATTTATATGTTTGGATCCATTTTATACTGATGTGGAAACCAAAGCATAGAGAAATTAAATGGCCTTCCCAACACCAGGCAATGAGGGAAGGCTGGAGACAGCGCTATTAGCCCGTGTCTGTTGTTGTAGTCTAGAAACCTACCATCAACCAAAATGCTAAGTAGGATGGGCCACACCAGGCTGACTGAGTCCCTCTGACTTTCAGAAAAGCTCAATTTATGTAGAACCAGGTTTCCAAATCATTTTAATTTTTCTATTCATGTTCTCTGACTGGGAAGATGGAATCTCTCATTAAAAGGCTCTTTGATAGAGCTCACATCCTGATCAATGATTTGCCCCTAATATGCATAGTTCATTATGTATGTTTCTTAGATACTGTCTGAGAATTGATTTTTTTAAAATATTCAGAATGACATTAATATGGAACACTCATTTGAATTCCATTATAAAATCAGAAAAACAAATTGGTCATAAGATACAATAAATTCATGCTTATGGATGTAGTAAATCTTCTAAAATGCACATTTAAGGAGAACTGTTTACTTTCCAAATAAGTTTTAAAAGAACTTTTCACATTACCTAGACTTGTTACCTTTTGTTTGCATTTGGCCAACTTTTTCAAAGGCTTAGAGCAAAACAAGAGTACTCCTAATTTAATATAACAAATGCTTGAGGAGTAACTCAACTTTGATCAAACTTTCTCTCTTTTGAGACAGAGTCTCACTCAAATTATCACCCTGGGTAGAATGTCCAGGCATCATAGTTCACAGAAACCTCCAAATCTTGGGCTCAAGTGATCCTTCTGCCTCTGTTTTTCTATTTTTTAGTAGAGATGGGGTCATGCTTTTGCTCAGGCTGGAACTCAAGCAATCCACCCATCTCAGCCTCCAAGAGTGCTAGGATTACAGGTATGACCCACCTCGTCTTGCCTGATCAAACTTTCTTCTGAAGTTTCAAAAGCGGAATGGATATAACCACCTACACACCCATAGGAATGGCAGAACATAACTATTGTCCAGAATGTAGAAGGGAAGAGGAGAGAGGGGAGAGGAGGGGGAATATGGGTGGAGGGAAGGTATTTAGGGGGACCTCCCCTAATATACATGATGCAATGGTACATTTCAAAACTATTTAGAAATGAGTATAATTGTGATGGATGTGTTACTTATTTCAATGTAAGCATTTCACATTCTATATCAAAGCAATACCCTGAACCCCATAAATGCATCAATGTACAAAGTTATGATTTAATAAAAAATAATTAGTTAAAAAAACAAAAAGAGATATATAACAAATCATTAAGGGAACAAAGAGGGGATAGGGATTAATGTCTGCTAAACCCAGAAGAAGATGATATTGAGCCTGAGAAAGGGGAGAGCTCAGTAAGGCATCATTAAAAACAATGGATTTAAATAAATAAAATAAAATAACGGAAGAGTGGAATTGGAATGTTCCTA